CCCGTGCATAGCTATTTTTGAGAGAGATATATATATGTATTTTAAGTAGGCTTCATGCCTAGCACAGAGCCCAGTGTGAGGCTTGAACTCACAATCCTGAGATCAAGACCTGAGCTGAGATAAAGAGTCAGATGTTTAACCAACTGAGCCACCTAGGCGGCCCTGCTATTTTTAATTTTTTTTAGTGTGTTTTTATTCATTAGAGAGAGCACGTGCATGTGCGCACGAGTGGGAAAGGGGCAGAGAGAGCAGAACAGAGGATCTGAAGCAGGCTCCACTCTGACACCAGTGAGACTCCACTCGAACTCACAGACTGTGAGATCATGACCTGAGCCGAAGTCAGATGTTCAACTGACTGAGCCACCCAAGTGCCTCTGTTTTTTATTTTTATTTTTAAAAAAATTTTTTTAACGTTTTATTTATTTTTGAGACAGGGAGAGACAGAGCATGAACAGGGGAGGGTCAGAGAGAGGGAGACACAGAATCTGAAACAGGCTCCAGGCTCCGAGCCGTCAGCACAGAGCCCGACGTGGGGCTTGAACTCACAGACCGCGAGATCATGACCTGAGCTGAAGCCGGCCGCCTAACCGACTGAGCCACCCAGGCGCCCCTGTTTTTTATTTTTTAATCTAAGATCTGATCTGGGGTCATGTTACATTTAGTTGCCAGGACTGTGCAGTCTCTCCTTCAATTTAAAAGTTTCCTGGCTTTCCAGCCCCCACCCTTCCATGCCATTGACATTTTTGACGATTCCAGACTGGTAATTCTTGCAGGCCAGTCCTTACTTTGGCTTGATTGTTTCCTAATGCAAAGAATCAGGGCAAACTTTTTTTAGACTTTTTTTTTCCTAATACAAAAAGATAGCGATCTAAGTACACCGTTCTGCACGTTGGTTTCTCTAACAATGGGTCTTTGAGAGCCCTCCACATGAATGCATAGAGAGCTTCCTCATTCCTTTATACAGCTGCATAATATTCCATGGAACAGTCTTCATATAATTTATTTAAACAGTCCCCCGGGGGAGGACATTTAGGTGGTTTCCAGTCTTTTGCCATTGCAAACAATGCTGCCGGAAATAACCTCGTAAATGCAGTTTCTCATATGTGATAGTATATCTATAGCACAAACCCCTAGGTGGGGAAATGGGGCCTTCCAACTTTTATGTTTTAATGGAGGTGGAATTTACATACAGTGAAATGCACAGGTTCTCAAGTGGACAGTTGTGGGTAAGGTACATTTTTGTCAGCCCAGAAAATTCCCTCATGCCCCTTCTCAGTCAGCCTCTCCCTCCTGGTAAGCAACCACTAGCCTAATTTCTAGCACCATAGATTAATCTATTCTAGAACTGTGTAGGGGTGCCCGTGTGGCTCAGTCGGTTAGGCATCCCACTCTGGATTTCAGCTCAGGTCATGATCTCACGGTTTGTGGGTTCAAGTCCCACATTGGGCTCTGCACTGACAGCGTGGAGGCTGCTTGGGATTCTGTCTCCCTCTCTCTCTGCCCCTCCCCCATGTGCACCTGTACACGTACTCTCCCTCTCAAAAATAAACATTTTAAAAAACAAGTTAAAAAAAAAAAACTTTGTGTAAATGGCACCACACCATATATACTCTCTCATTTTCAATTGAGGTGAAATTAACCATTTTAAAGCGTAGAGTTCAGTGGCATTTAGTACGTTCACAATATTGTACATCTACCACCTCTGTCTACTTCCAGAACATTTTCATCCCCCCCAAAAGGAAGACCCCATACCCCTTAGCAGTCACTCCCCATTCCTGCAGTGCATACTTGTGTGTCTGGCTTCTTTATTTAAAAGAGAATTTTTATTTATTTATTTTTTAATTTATTTTTTTTTCAACGTTTATTTATTTTTGGGGGGACAGAGAGAGACAGAGCATGAACGGGGGAGGGGCAGAGAGAGAGGGAGACACAGAATCGGAAACAGGCTCCAGGCTCTGAGCCATCAGCCCAGAGCCTGACACGGGGCTCGAACTCCCGGACCGCGAGATCGTGACCTGGCTGAAGTCGGACGCTTAACCGACTGCGCCACCCAGGCGCCCCAAAAAGAAAGAATTTTTTTAAAAATGTTTGTTTATTTTTGAGAGAGAGAGAGAGTGCGAGCAGGGGAGGGGCAGAGAGAGAGGGAGACACAGAATCTGAAGCAAGCTCTAGGCTCCCAGCTGTCCGCACAGAGCCCGACGTGGGGCTCGAACTCACAAGCAGTGAGATCATGACCTGAGCTGAAGTCGGACACTTAACCACCTGAGCCGCCCAGGCGCCCCGATGCATCTGGCTGCTTCTGTGCAGCATATTTTTGAGGTTCATCCATCCATTGTGTCACTAAGTAGCTGCCTCCTGTCTGATGCTGAGACATATTCCATTGTATACCATCCTGAACATTTGCCAACAACACATCCCCAGTCAGTTCAGGATTTTTCTGTGCTCTATTTGCTAAGGTCCGGGCTAAGCTGCTGGAACAGAGACCCCACGGCACGGTGGCCCGGGCAAGATACAAGTGTATTTCTCCACATAACTGCCCTCAAGTAGGCATTTCTGCCCCAGAAGCTTGTCAAGGGGACTGGGTTCCTTCCATCTTGTAGCTCTGCATTCCATGGGGTGTTGTCCTTGACCCCGTGGTCAAGGTTGGTTCACCCCCACTGTATCCATGCTCTAGCCATAGAGAAGGGAGAGGAGGCTAGAAGCAAGCTTCCTTTTAAGGCTGTCCCGGTCATTCCTTCCATGAGATAACTCAGTAAAGTGACCATCCCTAGCAGTGCATGCTGGGAAATGTAGTCTCCGGCTGGGTTGCCTGCAGCAGCTCAGAGGCAAGGGGTCAGCTGCAAAAGGACGAAGGGGAGACTGGATCTGGGGTTTGGGTGGGGTTACGGGATCCAGAGGTGTTCACTTGAACTCAGAGCAGCTGACCTGTGCCCTTCCTGCCCTCCCTCCCAACTGGGTCTGGGGTCTGCCTTAGGTTCCTATACTCTGTCTAGGCCTGGATGCTGGGAAACATAAACTTTTAAAAAAATTCTTTCTTTTTTTTGATCTTAAACTGATGGGAAGATCTAAAGAATAATACAAAGAGCATATACCCTTTACCCAGATCCACGTTTTAACATTTTCCCTTACTTGTTTTATGATTTGTATGTACATAAGCTTTCTTTTTCTCCTGTCTCTACACACATATGCCACCTAAAACAAATTTTTTTAATAGCTTGCATACATCATGGTTATTTACCCTTAATAGTTGAGTTTTTATTTATTTATTTATTTTGAGAGAGATAGACCGTGCAAGTGGGGGAGGGGCAGAGAGAGAGAGAGAGAGAGAGAGAGAGAGAGAGAGAAAGAATCCCAACCAGACTCCCACCTGCCAGCACAGAGCCTGATGTGGGGCTCAAAATCATGAAACCTTGAGATTATGACCTGAGCCGAAACCAAGAGTCGGATGCTTAACTGACTGAGCCACCCAGGCACCCTGAGTGTGCATTTTCTTAGAATATTCTCTTACCGAACCATAGTGAAGTTGCCAACCTAAAGAGGCTTAACTTGAATACAATTTTCTGTCGAACCTACTAGAGGATGTGTACTTTTGTATCAATATATCTTGTCAAAATATGCTCCAAAATGATTTTTTATATGTTGCAATTAAGAAAACATATAAATGGGGCGCCTGGGTGGCTCAGTTGGTTAAGCGTCTGACTTCGGCTCAGGTCATGTTCTCGCGGTCCGTGAGTTGGAGCCCCGCGTCAGGCTCTGTGCTGACAGCTCAGCCTGGAGCCTGCTTCAGATTCTGTGTCTCCCTCTCTCTCTGTCCCTTCCCTGCTCACACACACACACTCTCTCTCTCTCTCACGTGCATGTGCACTCTCAACAATAAATAGTAAACTTGTTTTTAAAACATCAAGTTTATTTAAAAAAAACCTATAAACATGTATATTGCAGCCTCTATTTGGTTTTTTGTTTGTGTTTACTACATTAGATCCTAGATTATAAGGGGAATACTATAAAGGGCATTTGGGGGGATTGTTAGAGAAACTGGAAAATGGACTCTTTATGTTGTGATTGGATTGTTAAATGTCCTGGATTTGATCACTGCACCTTGCTGGGTATAGAGAATGTCTTTGGGACGCCTGGCTGGTTCAGTCAGTATGGTGTGTGACTTTTGATCCCAGGGTTGTGGGTTCACGCCCCACTTGGGGCATGGAGCCTACTAAGAAAAAGAGAGAATGTCTTTGTCCTTCAGCAACACATTGTAAAGTACACAGGGGTCGAGGGGCATAATATCTAACTAACATATCTACCTGACGCACAGCTCACTCAACTGACTCAGAAAAAGTAAATCATTTGATGATGTGTGCATATTACCTTGTTACGTATGGAGGAGGTAATGAAGCAAATGTGGCGTCAAGCTGACACTTGGGGAATCTGGGTGAAGGGTGTGCAGGTGTGGAAATTTGAACTTATTTCAAAATTAAAAGGGCTCCGTTTCTGTTTTGTTTTTAAGGGGGAGGGAAGCCTCTGAAGTGTTTTGAGCTGGGAAGGGACCAGATCAGATTTGTGACTGGCCTGAAGAGGTGCTTCCCGGCCGCTTGTCAAATGAAGGCCCGGGCAGGCAGGGTGACAGGCGGGTGTGGACATCAGAGAGAGAGGTTTATGAAAGGAAGGGATGTGCTAAGGACCAGGTGTGTGAGTGTGAGTGTGGAGGTCCTGCAGACCGGGTGACAAGGGGTTGGCCAGGGGCAAGCAGACAGCAGAAAGGATGTGGAGGGTTTGAGCATGTGAGGAGAGGGTTACACCGAGGTGGGGAGTGGGCTGTAATCACAGTAACTGAGAGTATTTGACACGTGGAATGTGCCACCACCCTGTGAGCCTGCGGGTAGAGGGTCGTGTTACTCTTGAGGCACTCTGGAGAATGGAAAAAAGGCTCACAGTCACGGTTGGTACACGGGGGGTTCAGGAGGAAGATAGGAACCTTCTCCGAGCCTTGACTTGCCCCACAGGATGGATGCCAAGCGGCGGCCGGGCCCGGGCCCTGGGGTGCCCCCCAAGCGGGCCCGTGGGGGCCTCTGGGATGAGGATGAGCCATCTCAGCCATCCCAGTTCGAGGAGGAGCTGGCGCTGATGGAGGAGATGGAGGCAGAGCACAGGCTGCAGGAACAGGAGGAGGAGTTGCTGCAGCCGGCCCTGGAGGGAGCCGCGGACGGTGAGACCCACGGCGGGAACCCCCTGCCCTCCCTCCCCCTCTTGCTTGTGAACCGTGTCGGCCACGAGGCTCACCTGTAACCTCTGACTTCTGGCCCACTTTGAGCTCCGTGAAGTGCCGGCCTCTGACCTCACACCAGTATGCATTCTGCCTTTGTTGTCTGCAGCTCCAATTCTGACCTTCACCCTTGACCCCATGACCTCTCCCGAGTTTCCGGCCAGACCCAGAGCCCCGTCTCCACCTGACTTTCTCTGCACATCAGGGGCCACCTGAGAGATCATGGGCTGGGTTGGGCGGGCCCGTTACTTACTTCTGGGGGAGGACCACCATTCCATGTAGCCTGCCTCCCTCCCCCCATCCAGGGCAGTTCTCCCCAACGGCCATAGATGCCCGCTGGCTTCGCCCCTCCCCGCCCTCCCTGGATCCCCAGACGGAGCCCCTCATCTTCCAGCAGTTGGAGATCGACCATTACGTGGGTGAGCTTGGTGGTCAGGCCTGGTGGGTGGGAGGAGGGGCCCAGGGCTCCTGGGGTGCAGGCTGGGCCGGGTCAGCACCTCTGGCTTTGAGAGAAGAGATGGACACGGACAGTCCCCGTCCAGGTGGCCAGGGCTAAGAGAGGGAGGGACAGGGCTGTGGGTGCCCGAAGGGGCAGCAAGAGGGAAAGTGGCGGTGCAGGTGTCCAGCGGGGCTTCCTGGAGGTGGGGACTGTCTTCCAACTGAGGCCTGAAGGTAAGAGCCGGCTCCTTGCTGAGGAGGGAGGTGTGCAGTTCGACATCCGTCCGTCCATCCAGTGTCCATCAGGAACAGCCAAGCATCTGTATTGAGCCAGGCCCTATTCCTGTCAGACCAGGTCCCTGCTCTCAGAGGCTCACCTTCTAGAAGGATAGGCAGAATAAAAAAGGAAATGGAGCCTCAGGTGGCCATGAGGGTTATGGCGGAACATAAAGGAGGGTAGGGGTGCCAGATTGTGCATCTTGGAGGTCTGGGAAAGCCTCTCTGAGGAGGCAACAAGGAGCCACGGGGCTGTCTGGGAAAGAGGGGTTCTGGGCAGAGGGTCCTGAGCAGGCAGCAGGTCTGGAACGTTTGAGGAACAGGGAGATCAGTGTGGTAGGAACAAGGAGCGAGGGGAGGGGGGAGGGGTGGCACATGAGATCCTGCCCGCCGAGGCAAGGACTTCGGGGCTCCGTTCTGAGCAGGCTGGAAAAGTCTTTGGAGAGACCCAACCCCAACTCACAGGTTAGAAGGCTCCCCGGTAAAAGAGGGAAGGGACAAGTTACAGGCGGGGAGGAAACATTGCGTTCCCCGGATCTGAGCAAGAACTCGCACTGCGAAAATATAAGAAGCATTCAGATCTCGACAGCGAGAAGACAGTCCAGTCCAAAAGTGGACCAAACACCCAGGTAGACAATTCACTGGAGGATACGCAGGCAGGAATAAGCTCAGTGTCACTGGCTGTCAGGGAAACGTAAATGACAGCCACACTGAGACCTGACAGCCTATTAGGAGAGCTAAAAGAAAGCCCAGAGACACGAACGATCATTGATAAGGATGCAGAGCCACCGGAAAGCTTGCTTGTGCCCCGCTGGTGGGAACGCTGTGTGTTGCTGCCCCTGTGGGAAACAGTCTGGAAGTTTCCTAGAGTTCAACCTACTCTTCCCCCGCCCCCAGCTTTATTAAGATACAAGAGTTAAATCTGCTTTTTTCCATAGGATCAGGCAATTCCAGATATTTCCCCTGAAGGAATGAGAGCCAGGAGACTGTGATTCCGTTTATATGGATAGACTGAAAAAAACAAAATTAAGGGCACCTGGGTGGCTCAGCTGGTTAAGCTTCTGACTCTTGATTTTGGCTAAGGTCATGGCCTCACGGTTTGAAGGACCGAGCCCCACATCTACACTGATGATGTGGAGCCCGTTTGGGATTTTCTCTCTCCTTCTCCTGCCCCTCCCCTGCTCATGCTTGCAAGCGCTCTCTGTCTCAAGATAAATAAATAAGCTTTTTTTTTTTTGGAGTTGAAAGAAAGACAAAATTAGAATGACGGAGAGTGGACCATCAGTGCCAGCGGGTGTGGTTCCAAAAATGCATCTCGCAGGAGCTGTTTGGAGTGATGGAGCGGTTTTGTACCCTGATTTTGATAGTGGTTACGTGAATCTGTATAAAATATGTGTTAAAGCTCCTAACTGCACACACAACGTCGATTTTACTTTTGTTTTTAAATACTTATTTTTGAGAGAGAGTGCGCGCACACGTGAGCGGGAGAGGGGCAGAAAGAGAGAGCAAGAGAATCCCAAGAAGCGCAAAGCCCAACACAGGGCTCAAACTCACCAACCATGAGATCATGATGTGAGCCGAAGTTGGGCACTCAAATGACTGAGCCACCCAGGCGCCCCTCAGTTTTACTTTTCAAAAGAAAATATTTTTTGCAACAAGAGGGCAGGGGGCTCCTTCTAGCTATAGGAGGTAGACCAAGATGAAAAGGAGACCAGTGGGGAGGCGCTCAAAGCCGAGTGGACAGCGTGGAAGGCCAGTGTGGGCAGAGGCACCCGGTGCTGCGGGAACCAGGGGGCTGTATTCCCAGCAAAGGAGAAGCCTGGGGAGGCAAACCTTTGAGGAATACGGAGGGGCAGCCTCTGCCTCATCCTGTGAACCCTCCACCCCCAGGCCTGGCGCAGCCCCTGCCTGGAGCAGCCCCGCCACCCCCCGGCTCCGTCCCGGTCCTCCGTGCCTTCGGAGTCACTGATGAGGGCGTGTCCGTCTGCTGCCACATCCACGGCTTTGCTCCCTACTTCTACACCCCGGCGCCCCCTGGTGAGTGGCCCTGACCCACAAGACCCCCGCCCCAGCCCTCCAGAGTCCCCCTGCACTTCTGACCGGCTCTCCCCACTCCCCCCAGGTTTTGGGCGCGAGCACCTGGGCGACCTGCAGCGGGAGCTGAATGCTGCCATCAGCAGGGACCAGCGCGGAGGGAAGGAGCTCGCGGGGCCGGCCGTGCTATCTGTGGAGCTGTGCTCCCGGGAGAGTGAGTGTCCCGCCCCCGGGTCCAGCAGGCAGGGCTCCCTCCGGGCCGGTGCCAGCCTCGTCTGTCCACAGGCATGTTCGGGTACCATGGGCACGGCCCCTCCCCGTTTCTGCGCATCACCCTGGCGCTGCCGCGCCTCCTGGCCCCCGCCCGCCGCCTCCTGGAGCAGGGCATCCGTGTGCCGGGCCTGGGCACCCCCAGCTTCGCACCCTACGAGACCAACGTGGACTTTGAGATCCGGTACGGCCCCTGCCTCTCCTCTCCAACCTCCACCCCCACTTCCGCCCCCGCCCCCGCCCCCGCCCCGCTCGTCAGCTTCTGCCTCCCGCTCTTCGTCCCCTGTCCAGGTTCATGGTGGACACAGACATCGTCGGCTGCAACTGGTTGGAACTCCCAGCGGGGAAATACCTCCTGAGGCTGGAGGGGAAGGTGCGGGGCTCACTGCGGGCAGGGGCACAGAGCCGGGTCCCTGCAGCCACTGACGTGCCCCACCCCTACAGGCCACGCATTGTCAGCTGGAGGCGGACGTGCAGTGGTCTGACGTGGTCAGTCACCCGCCAGAAGGGGAGTGGCAGCGAATTGCGCCCCTGCGCGTGCTCAGCTTTGACATCGAGTGTGCTGGCCGCAAAGGTCGGTCTCCGGGTCTCGGGGCTCCTCCCTCCCTCCCTTTAGACGCGTGACATGCCAGTCTTGCCCCACGAGCCCCCATACTTCTTGAGCTCGCTGAGGAAGGAGTGAACGTGAAAATGGACAGTTATCGTAAGATTCTCACTTGGAGGATGGTGGAGAGTGACAGGGCAGCTCAGACAGGTGGGCGGGAAGGCCTTAGGAGCAATGCGGCAGGCCTTGTGAGGAGGGACAAGCGGGGGTGTATGGGTGGGGAGAACCTCTGCCCCCCCCCCTCCGCCGAGAATAGGAAGTGCAAAGGCCCTGGGGCAGGACCCAGTCTGTGAGGGGCAGGGAGAGGGCCAGAAGAAGAAGGCAGAGGGGAACAGCGTGGGTCACGCGAGGGCTGTAGGCAGTGGGGTTAGGAATCGACAGGCTGGGGAGATTTGGATGTGCAACTCCCCTGATGTGTCACAGAGGAAAAGAAGAAGTTCGGTCCCCTGCATCCCCCTCCTTCCTCCCTGCGCAGGCATTTTCCCGGAGCCTGAGCGGGACCCCGTGATCCAGATCTGCTCACTGGGCCTGCGCTGGGGTGAGCCGGAGCCCTTCCTACGCCTGGCGCTCACCCTGCGGCCCTGCGCCCCTATCCTGGGTGCCAAAGTGCAGAGCTACGAGCGGGAGGAGGAGCTGTTGCAGGTGGCTCTCATTCCATGTCCCTTTATGTCCTCAGAACCCCCCACCCAGCCTCCACATCCCAGGTGCAAGGCCATGTACTCTGCATGCTGAGACGCCAAGTCCATGGGTTCAGATCCCTTTGCTTTGGTGGGGGAGGGGGTGTGTGTACATTTCCCGTCTGGGTCCTGTGTTATTTTCAGAAGCACCTGCCCGATCTTACTGCAATGGGCAAGAGGGCTCCAGGCTCGCTCTTGGGGACTTCTGGAATGTTCCAGGAGCGGGGAGGATCCATGCTAGGGGGACGATCAGGATGACAACCAGGGTGATCCTGTGTGCTCCCACCCCACAGGCGTGGTCGACCTTCATTCGCATCGTGGACCCCGATGTGATCACTGGCTACAACATCCAGAACTTTGACCTTCCATACCTCATCTCCCGGGCCCAGACCCTCAAGGTAGGGCAGGAAGGTTAGGGAGGCTTGCCTTTAGATGCGCCACTGGGGGCCGAAGGGGTGGGTGGCCGCCCTGCTCCTCCTTGCTGCTTTTCCCTTGTGGCTCTGTCCCCCTTGGGCTGTCTGGCTTGCTCTGTGTCCCTGCAGCCCACCGCCCCCAGTGGCTCCAGGGACATCACTGAAAAGCCAGCTCTGGCCCCATCCCTGCCCTGCTCGAAGTCCAGAAGGTTATTTGGCTTTTGCAGAGGCAAGGAGAGCATTTATGGTTAAATAAGGACAGGCCTGTGTGTCGGCAGGGCAGACGGAAGCGTGCGTGGGGATAGTGTCTTGTCTTCTAGACTTTAAAATATGTCAGCCAAAAATAAGGAAGAGGGGGATTCCTTGAAATGTACGGCAAAACCTTGACGCTTGTTGAACCTGGGAGTCACCGTACGGGGCGTGCTAATTTGCTAGGGCTACCTGAACAGTACTGCAGGCTTGTGTCTTCTTGCAGGCTGGAACTCAGAAGTCCAAGATCAAGGCCTCACAGGCTTGGTTCCTTCCGAGGCCTCTCCTAGCCTCTGGTGGTCTCAGACATACCTGGGGTGTCGGAGGCGGGCTCCCCGATTCTTCAGCTTGTCTTCTAATTTGGGCATATCTCTGCCCGAATTTCCTCTTTTTCTAAGGACACTGTGGTCTTGGGTCAGGGCCAACCCTGATGATCTCAACTTGATTGCCTGTAGAGACCCTATTTCCAAAGAGATTACGTTCTGAGGTGTGGAGGTTAGGACTTCAACATCTGGGATTGATGTTGACAACAGTTCAACTCACAATAGTGGTTATGTTGTATCGTTTCCTCCTTTTCCTTATGTTTGGCCAGTTTCGTGATGAAAAATAAAAATCACGTTTGGGGCGCCTGGCTGCCTCTGTCGGTAGAGTGTGCAACTTGATTTCAGGGTCGTGAGTTCAAGCCCCATATTGGGCATGGAGCGTACTTAAAAAAAAATGCAATAAAATGGTATTTTAAAAATCACGTTGAGGTGCCCGGATGGCTCAGTTGGTTAAGCATTCGACTCTTGATTTCGGCTCAGGTCATGATCTCACGGTTCGTGACTTTGAGCCCCACATCCAGCTCTGTGCTGACAGTGCGGAGCCTGCTTGGGATTCTCTCTCTCTCCCTCTCTCTCTCTGCTCTTCCCCAGCTTGTGCTCTCTCTCCCTCTTTCTCTCTCAAAATAATTAAACTTAAAAACTTATTTATTTATTTATTTATTTTTTTTTTATTATGAAATTTATTGTCAAATTGGTTTCCATACAACACCCAGTGCTCATCCCAAAAGGTGCCCTCCTCAGTACCCGTCACCCCCCCCTCCCCCCCACCCCCCATCAACCCTCAGTTCTCAGTTTTTAAGAGTCTCTTATGCTTTGGCTCCCTCCCTCTCTAACCATTTTTTTTTTCCCTTCCCCTCCCCCATGGTCTTCTGTTAAGTTTCTCAGGATCCACATAGGAGTGAAAACATGGAATCTGTCCTCCTCTGTATGACTTATTTCACTTAGCATAACGCTCTCCAGTTCCATCCACGTTGCTACAAAAGGCCAGATTTCATTCTTTCTCATTGCCACGTAGTATTCCATTGTGTATATAAACCACAATTTCTTTATCCATTCGTCAGCTGATTGACATTTAGGCTCTTTCCATAATTTGGCTATTGTTGAGAGTTCTGCTATAAACATTGCGGTACAAGTGCCCCTATGCATCAGCACTCCTATATCCCTTGGGTTAATTCCTAGCAGTGCTACTGCTGGGTCATAGGGTAGGTCTATTTTTAATTTCCTGAGGAACCTCCACACTGTTTTCCAGAGTGGCTGCACCAATTTGCATTCCCACCAACAGTGCAAGAGGGTTCCCATTTCTCCACATCCTCTCCAGCATCTATAGTCTCCTGATTTGTTCATTTTGGCCACTCTGACTGGCGTGAGGTGATATCGAGTGTGGTTTTGATTTGTATTTCCCTGATGAGGAGTGACGTTGAGCATCTTTTCATGTGCCTGTTGGCCATCTGGATGTCTTCTTTAGAGAAGTGTCTATTCGTGTTTTCTGCCCATTTCTTCACTGGATTATTTGTTTTTCGGGTGTGGAGTTTGGTGAGTTCTTTATAGATAATTTTGGATACTAGCCCTTTGTCCGATATGCCATTTGCAAATATCTTTTCCCATTCCGTTGGTTGCCTTTTAGTTTTGTTGATTCCTTTGCAATGCAGAAGATTTTACCTTCATAAGGTCCCAATAGTTCACTTTTGCTTTTAATTCCCTTGCTTTTGGGGATGTGTCAAGTAAGAAACTGCTGTGGCTGAGGTCAGAGAGGTTTTTTCCTGCTTTCTCCTCTAGGGTTTTGATGGTTTCCTGTCTCACATTCAGGTCCTTTATCCATTTTGAGTTTGTTTTTGTGAATAAAAATATATGTATTTTAAAAAATTGCGGGGAGCCTGGGTGGCTTAGTCAGTTAAGCTTACGACTTCGGCTCAGTTCATGATCTCGGTTCGTGGGTTCAAACCCCGTGTCGGGCTCTGTGCTGACAGCTCAGAACCAGGACCCTGCTTCGGATTCTGTGTCTTCCTCTCTCTCTGCCCCTCCCCTGCTCGTGCTCGCTCTCTCTCTCTCTCTCTCTCTCTCTCTGTCTCTCTCAAAAGTAAATAAACGTTAAAAATAATTTTTTAAAATTGTGTTTATGGCCCCCAAGAGTTCCGGGAAGGAGTCCATCCCTCTCAGTCTGGCATTTATACGTGGAGACACTGCTCCCCTGTCCTCTGCACCCCTGCCCTGCTACTTCTCCAGCTCAGGCCTCCGCTCTCTACCCTGTCCCTCTCATGCCACCTCCTGTCCTGGCCTCAGACCCAGCTCTCTGTGCTGCCCCCTGCTGTGCGCCCACCTAACTGTCCCCCAGGCCCCTCCCCTCACTCAGTTCAGCATCGCCCCCAAATCTGTTCTTCCTCTGCTGCCCATCTGGGTGCAGCACCCCAGCCACTGAGCACCATGCCTGCCCCCCTCAGCCCTGCAGCCGTCCTGACCTCCTGTCTCCCTGCAGTCCACGCCTACCCAGCCCCAGAGCGTCTTTCTGCATCAGAGCTCCACCTGCTTCGGCCCGCTCAGCCCCAGCTCCCAGCAGGAAGAGGGTGGCGTCGCGGGTGTCGTGGTGGTGGCTCGTGTGGTCTGCATTCCTTTGGCACGGCCCCAGAGGTCCCAGATCCGGGCCGGCCGTTGCCCACTGCAGCCTCCGCCCCTCCCTGGTGCTGTGTCCCCAGGTGGAGTCGTTCCCCTTCCTGGGCCGCGTGTCTGGCCTCCGCTCCACCATCCGGGACTCGTCCTTCCAGTCCAAGCAGACCGGCCGGCGGGACAGCAAGGTGGTCAGCATGGTGGGCCGCGTGCAGATGGACATGCTGCAGGTACGCGCGCGGGGCCGGGAGGGTGCCCGCCCTCGTGGGGCTGCTGCCCGGGCCCTGGGCCCACCCCGCGCCCCCGCTCCCCCTCCCCACTGCAGGTGTTACTGCGAGAGTATAAGCTCCGCTCCTACACGCTCAACGCCGTGAGCTTCCACTTCCTGGGCGAGCAGAAAGAGGACGTCCAGCACAGCATCATCACTGACCTGCAGGTGCCTTTTCTGCGACCTCTGACCCCCCTCCCGCCTGCCCCGACCTCACACCTCCGCTCCCTGCCCCCGACCTCGGATCTTACTCTTCCGTCTAATTCTCTGACCCCAGCAGCCCACCTTCCTGACCTTGGGCTGCGATCTCCCAGCTGTTCTCCCGACTCTCACCTTAACCTCTTGCCTCTGATCTGTGACCTCACTTGGCAGATGTGACTCCTCATGTAACCTCTGGCACTGTGACCTTATTCCCTTGTCCTGCCCCCGCCTCTAGCCCACACTCGCCCATCAGACTGCTCCCTTTTCCTCTGACCCCGCAACTCCCCGACCCCCAGCTCTGCCCACTCCGCACCCAGACCCTCGCCCTCTCCCTGACCCCTGAGCCCTCACGGCTGCCCCCCCACCCCCCGATGCCCTCCATGCCTGTCCCCAGAACGGGAACGACCAGACACGCCGCCGCCTGGCCGTGTACTGCCTCAAGGACGCCTTCCTGCCCCTGCGGCTGCTGGAGCGGCTCATGGTGCTGGTGAACGCCATGGAGATGGCGCGCGTCACCGGTGTGCCCCTTGGCTATCTGCTCACCCGCGGCCAGCAGGTCAAGGTCGTGTCCCAGCTGCTGCGGCAGGTCAGTGGGCGGAGCTGAGGGTGGGCATCCCAGTGCTCTGGCACGTCCCCGCTCCCAGCCTCTGGTCACTTGGTCACTCGGTCACTCGCTGTGGCTTCTGGGCCACGACACCTGACGCGCTGCCCCACCTGGGCCTGCCTCCATTTTCCACCTTCTCCCCTCCCAGGCCATGCGCGAGGGGCTGCTGATGCCCGTGGTAAAGACAGAAGGTGTCGAGGACTACACGGGAGCCACAGTCATCGAGCCCCTCAAAGGGTATGACCCCGTGTCTGGGTGGGGGTGGCTCGGGGCTTCCGGCCCTGACTCCTCCCCTCCCCCCCTGCCCCCCTCCCCCCCAGGTACTACGATGTCCCCATCGCCACACTAGACTTCTCCTCTCTGTACCCGTCCATCATGATGGCCCACAACCTGTGCTACACCACACTCCTGCGGCCCGGGGCCGCCCAGAAACTGGGGTATGGCACCTTTTTCATCTTGGGGACCCCAGGCCCGGGACCCAGATGGGAAGGGGAGTGGAGGAGAGACTTGAGAGGTGGGGAGAGCCTGAGGGGGTCTCGAGGGGAGGAGGTGGGGAGGCTGGGCATCACCCCCCGGCGTCCTCCGCCTCAGCCTGACAGAGGATCAGTTCATCAAGACACCCACAGGGGATGAGTTTGTGAAGACGTCAGTGCGGAAGGGCCTCCTGCCCCAGATCCTGGAGAACCTTCTCAGCGCCCGGAAGAGGTGGGTTCTTGAGTGCCCCACCCACCCCTTCTCAGAGCTCAAACTTGCTGAGGCTCCTCACCAGTCTGTCTCTCGTGGGTCACCCCAGGGTTGCCGCGCCACACATTAACTGCCACGGTGTATGAATTAGAACAAGACACCCCTCCAGATGGCTCCCCTTTGCCCCCTCTGCTGGACACCTCTGTGTAGTACACAGCCTGCACAACTGTACATGGCACCCATTTCTAGAAAGGCACCTTGACCAGTGCCCAGGCCAGGGCCTCTTATCTTTCCCTGAGATATGGGACGCTGCCCCAGTGGCCTGTGCTTCCTCTCTCTCCAGGGCCAAGGCTGAGCTGGCCAAAGAGACAGACCCCCTGCGTCGGCAGGTGTTGGATGGGCGGCAGCTGGCGCTCAAAGTGAGCGCCAACTCTGTATATGGCTTCACTGGTGCCCAGGTGGGCAAGCTGCCGTGCCTGGAGATCTCACAGGTGAGTGCCCAGTTCCCACGGTGGAAGGTGGGGGGCACACAGCCCCTCCCTGGGAGAACCAGGGCTCCGTGTGGTAGAGCCCAGGCTGCCCCAACTTGCCAGCTTTCGGGAGAGGGGATGCGTGAGTGTTTGGTTCATTCATTTTTGAACAAATGTTCGCCGAACGTCCTGTGTGGGTCCAGCAGGTGGCAAAACGGATGAGAGTTCCTGCTCTCGTGTGGTGCGCAGCCTCGTGGTCACGCAGATGGTGACAGCAGCAGATATGGGAAGGCAGTTGGTGCCGAGGGCTCTGCAGACAGATGAAGCAGTGGCAGGGGCGTAGGGGTGGTGAGCAGAGGCTTTGTTCATTGCTCTTTCATTTACTCTCTCATAGTCCACCTGAAGACCCCACCCACCTCTCCCCTGGTCCCCATGAGGGTGGGGGAGTGGAGAGCAGGTCCCCTGCCTCCAAATGAGAGGATGGGGCCATGTGTCTGCTCATGGGGGCTGGGGTGGTGCCCAATAGCACAGCCAGCCCCTGACGCTTGATTTGCCGTGTGTGCTCCATCACTGAAGGAGCAGGTGCGCGGATGCCTCTTCCTGCCCCGGGTGTGAAGATGCTTGGTCAGTGCTCTGCTCTGAGAGGGAACATGGGCAGAAAAGCCCACCGCCTCACTTCCCAGCTGTGTTCTCGGCCTGCTCACCGGACGCAGCTCTGCTGCTCGGACAGAAAAACATCCACGGTCAGACCACAGAGGGTCTGAGTCCGAGGTTGTGCCAAGCTGGGATCAGGGCCTCAGCTCCTGGCTTAAGAGAGCCTTAGAAGGGCCTTCCTGCCCAGCCCCTTCCCCTGGAGTTTGGGTCTCGGCACATTCCAGGCTTGGTTACTTCCAGCCCCAGGAAGCTCCCTCTGTATGTAGGCGTTATATCGTTCCTCACGTGGCTCTGGAGGGAAGGCTTGGAAGAATTGCCAGTGGCGGGGCTTTTTGGTGGGAGAAGCCTGTGCACACACCCACTCATCTTCAGTTCAGGGGCCCCCAAGACCACCCTCACCTCAAGTGATCTGCTAGAAGGACTCCAGGAACTCAGAAAAGCTGTCCTACTCACAGTTATGACTTAATACAATTAAAGGATAGAGATTAAAATCAGCCAGGGGAAAAGGCATGGAACTTCCAATTTGTCTCCACCAATGGAGTCATGCAGACAGTGTTTATTTCTCCCGGCGTTGATGTGTGACAACATGCATGGAGTGTTGCCAACTAGGGAAGTTCACTGAGCCTCAGTGTCCTGGGTTTTTACTGGGGGCTGGTCACGTAGGCATGGAGCATCTGTGTGACCGACCTTCGTTACTCAGTCTCCAGCCCCTGCAGAGACGTCAGGCTGCTAGCGTGTGGCCCGAGGCCTCACCATGAGTCACACTGTCAGCACAGTCCAAGGTCCTAGGTGAACAAAGACACTCTTTTAGACAGGACGTTCCAAGGGCTTCAGGTTCCCTCCCAGGAGCCAGCCAAGAGCCAGGGCTCTTTCTGGGCAAGTTTCCTCCTATAGTGCATCCCACCCATATTGCTCGCATTGGCCTTTCATAAGTCTCTGTGGGCCTCCCCCAGGCTCCCTGGTAGAGAGAGGTGGGTATTTGGCTGTCAGACTCCAGCCCCGAAGCAGAGGCCAGGCCAGGAGGACTTGGCTTTGCTTCCCTTGCGGCTTCTTCATCAGGGCCACCGCTTCCTGGTCATGTCCCTCTGTCTTTTCCCTCTTCATCCTTCCCTGTGTTTCTTTGCCTTTTTCCTTATTGCTGTCTCTCAGGCTTACAGGGGCAGGGAGATCAAACAAACAAACAAAATACTGAATCATTCCAGAAAAGGATGAAGGAAAGAAAAAGGAACATAGAACAGGTGAAACAAGCAGAAAGCATATAGTAAAGTGGTGAACATTTAAGCCCAGATATGTTCAGTAATTATACTAAGTGTAAGTCACCTAAATGGTCCAGTTAAAAGACAGAGATCTTCTGACTGGATCCAAACAAACAAAAGCAGAAGAGTCACACCCATCTCTCCTTGGTGTGTGCCCCGGACATTTTTTTTTTTTTCTAAAATTTTTTAATGTTTTTATTTATTTTTGAGACAGAGACAGAGCATGAGCAGGGGAGGGCAGAGAGAAAGGGAGACACAGAATCTGAAGCAGGCTGCAGGCTCTGAGCTGTCAGCACAGAGTCCGACGTGGGGCTCGAACTCACGGACTGCGAGATCATGACCTTAGCTGAAGTCAGATGCTTAACCGACTGAGCCACCCAGTCACCCTGCCCCGGGCATTTTTTAATGTTTCTTTATTTATTTTTTTTTTTTAATTTTTTTTTTCAACGTTTATTTATTTTTGGGACAGAGAGAGACAGAGCATGAACGGGCGAGGGGCAGAGAGAGAGGGAGACACAGAATCGGAAACAGGCTCCAGGCTCTGAGCCATCAGCCCAGAGCCCGACGCGGGGCTCGAACTCACGGACCGCGAGATCGTGACCTGGCTGAAGTCGGACGCTTAACCGACTGCGCCACCCAGGCGCCCCAAATGTTTCTTTATTTTTGAGAGAGAGAGAGGGAGACACAGAATCCAAAGCAGACTCCAGGCTCTGAACTATCAGCACAGAGCTTGACATGGGGCTCATGAGCTATGAGATGACGATCTGCACCGCAGTCTGAAGCTCAGCCTTCAGTTGAAGGCTCCCCTTCGGTTCCCTTATTTGTAAAGTAAGATTGTTGGAAGGTTTCTCCATGAGCCTGGCACATCCCCCTACTCTGAGGGGGCATTTGACAGTATGTAGGGTCATTTCTGGTTGTCCAAGGATTTGGGGGTTGCACTGCTGGCTTTCGGGGTGGGGGCCGGGAATGTCAGCGATCCTGCACCATGGAGAACTGCCTGCAATGTTACCACATGTCACAGCACCTCCATGGCAGGAAACAAACAGTGTGCTGATGGCCTCTTCTGGCTTCAGCCTTTCTAACACTCATCTTTGCAGACCTTCCTCCTCTGTGCCTAGAGCTCTGGGCTAGTGACCCAGTTCTTTCCAACAGATGGTTGAAAAGGAGCTTAGTAGCTGCGTTTTGTAGATTTGGGCATCGAGGCCCAGAGGGGCAGAGTGACTCACCCAAGCCCACGCCCCCAGGAAGTAGCGGAAGTGGCACCCTGAGCCCAGGACTCCTGGGTCCTCACTGCGTGGTTCTCTCCCTGACAGAGCGTTACCGGCTTTGGGCGCCAGATGATTGAGAAAACAAAGCAATTGGTGGAGTCCAAGTACACGGTGGAGAATGGCTATGGCACCAGTGCCAAGGTCAGAGGCCGCCCCTCCCACTGCCCAGAGATGGGGCTGGGTCAGGGGAGTTGCGGGGGCTTGGCCCCCATCTCTCCATGCCTCCCAGTCATATACGTCCCTCCCCAGGTGGTGTATGGTGACACTGACTCAGTCATGTGCCGATTTGGTGTCTCTTCTGTGGCCGAGGCAATGGCCCTGGGGCGGGAGGCTGCGGACTGGGTATCAGGCCACTTCCCCCCGCCTATCCGGCTCGAGTTTGAAAAGGTAAGTGGGAGCCCCCCTCAGGGCTGGAGTGGCCAGATGGGTCTCGCAAGTTTCAGAGGGTCTCTGATTCTCAGCGCCTGCATTTGTGTGCGGTTCCCCTCACATCTGCAGATGTCAGCATCTGGAGCCCCCAGTGGCCCTCGGGGGCTCTCCATCTTGGGGGTGCCCTGATCTGGGTACTCTGAGTATCCCATGCTTCACATTCTATAGGTCCCGGTTTGGGGGTATTTGGGGGCCTGGATTCTCCTGAGTTTGGAAACTTAAAGCCTTGGGCTTTGTGATGCAGGACAGTGTCTGTTTTTTTGGAAACTTTTGTCAGTCTTGGAGCGCCTCTGGTTTTGGGTGTGGGGGCTGCCTTGGGTGGTGGGAACCCTGACCGGGGTGAATCCTGCATCAGGGCACCATTGGCCGGTGCTGCTTGGCTCCCAGCAGGAAATCAGGCTTGGGGTCTGGGGACTCCAGGGTTCAAACTTGGAGTCAGGTCTTGGGTACACCTGCTCTCAAATTTAGAGCCTCCCCAAGTTGGGCCTCCCTGCCTCAGGGCTCCCTCCTGGGCCTTAGTCTCAGCTCCTTGGGGTGGAGGGAGGTGCTGCCTTGTACCCCTGTCTGCCTCAGGTCTGTCCCAGATCCAGATTTGGGGCCCTCCAGGCTTCACCTCATGACTGGGTCTTGTTTTAGGGGCTTTCTCTAGTTTTCAGATTTGAGATCCCTGGAATGCTGAGGTGTGCCCAGGCTCAGGCACGGGGGTCTTGAGATCTTGGGATCCATCTGTCCCAGGGCCCCAATCCTGTATCACATGGACCAGCCCTGTGTGTCCCAGTTTCTGAGGGAAGTCTCAGGAGTCAGGAGGTCTTGAGGGTCTCAGCCACGGGTCCCTCCCTAGGTCTACTTTCCCTACCTGCTCATCAGCAAGAAGCGGTACGCTGGCCTGCTTTTCTCCTCCCGGCCAGACGCTCACGACCGCATGGACTGCAAGGGTCTGGAGGCTGTGCGTCGGGACAACTGCCCCCTCGTGGCCAACCTCGTCACCGCCTCCCTGCGCCGCCTGCTCATCGACCGGTGGGTGGGAACCTCCCCTCAGCCCCGGAGGCCATGCCCCAGCCCCTCTCCCTCAGACCCAGGAGCCCCCAGCCCCCTCCTCCCCTGGGGACACAGGTGTCAGGCCCAGCTTGTCCTCCGTGGTGGAACGGTGGAAAGAATGTGGGGTTGGACAGCTGTGGGTCTAGGCCCCGCCTCTGCCACTTTGCAGCCTGTGGCCTGGCTGGGTCCCTCCCCTCCTTGGGCCTCATCCCCGAGAGCACACTCTGGCCCTCAGCAGCCACTGGTGACCTCCCCATCCCGGCCCTGCAGAGACCCCGCAGGTGCCGTGGCCCACGCACAGGACGTCATCTCAGACCTGCTGTGTAACCGCATTGACATCTCCCAGCTCGTCATCACCAAGGAGCTGACCCGCGCGGCCTCTGACTACGCCGGCAAGCAGGCCCACGTGGAACTGGCCGAGAGGTCCGCCCAGTGGGAGGGGTGCAGGGCTGTCCAGAAATAGCCCCCTCCTGCCAGCTGGGCACCACTTCCTACAGCCCTGTCCGCCCCCGCCATCCCACCTGCCCTCACCCGCCCCGCCGCCCCGGTCTCCCCGCAGGATGAGGAAGCGGGACCCCGGGAGCGCGCCCAGCTTGGGCGACCGTGTCCCCTACGTGATCATCGGCGCTGCCAAGGGCGTGGCTGCCTACATGAAGTCCGAGGTCAGGCCCACCTGGGCTGCCCGCTCCGCCCAGCTCCCCTCTGCTCTCACTTCTGCTTTCCAAGCCCTGCGGGGAGGGTGTTTCCCTCTGTGGGCCCCACAGGGCCCTGAGAACCGCCCCCAGCACACCCCTGGGAGTTGGCTCCCTGATGCCTTTCTCCCAGGCCTCCCGTGCCCTCTGGAGGGCCCCCCCCCCATAGTCTGACCCCTCCCTCACTCCCCCTGCAGAAGAAGACCCAGCCTCACCATGCACATCACGTCTCTCCATCTCTCTCTCTGCGTGTCTGCTTGGTCCTTGCTCTCCAGCCCATAATTCTCTTGGATTCCTGTCCTTCCCCCTCCTACCCCAATGTCCAGTGACCTCTGATCCCCACAACCCCTTCCTCAGTCCCCAGTTCCTGTCTTGCCTCCTCATATCTTGGCTTCTAGCTTTCACTTCCAGCTGCTGTCCACCTTGGCACACCCCCTAAGCTGTGAAGTCTGACCCTTGCTTGGGGTCCTGAGGACCCCCACCTGTGGACCCCAGCATGCACCACAGCTCATGGCCAGAGGACCCTTCACAATCTCCGGTGCCATCCCAGACCCGTGTCCCACCTCGATGCGGCGCCCCGGAGGGTGACCGCCCCCAGGGACTCCCCCACACCACTGCCCACACCCACAACCGGGGGACCCACCAGCCCAGTGGCTCCCAGTGCCCGTCACCACGCTGCCTGCTGTTGAGCACAGCCCCTGGCCCCCGGGTGTGACCCTGCCTGGCCGCTCTGCTTGCAGGACCCCCTCTTTGTGCTGGAGCACAGCCTGCCCATCGACACGCAGTACTACCTGGAACAGCAGCTCGCCAAGCCCCTCCTGCGCATCTTCGAGCCCATCCTGGGCGAGGGCCGCGCTGAGGCTGTGCTGCTGAGTACTGAGGGGGCATGCCCGGGGAGGGGGGAGGGCACCGGGGGTCACAGAGGGCACCGGGGCCCACTGCCTGCCCTCGCCTGCAGGGGGTGACCACACGCGCTGCAAGACGGTGCTCACGGGCAAGGTGGGCGGCCTTCTGGCCTTTGCCAAACGCCACAGCTGCTGCATCGGCTGCCGCACTGTCCTCGGTCACCAGGGTGAGCACCGGCCCCCCCCCGCCCAGACCCCAGCCCCAGGCCCCCATGCTCCACCCGGCTCTGCCCTCACCCAGGTCCCTGGCACCTGCCGTCCAGGCTGGCGGTGCCACCCCAGATAGGCCTGGGCCCCTGGGTGGGGGCTCCCATTTACAGGCACCCCCTCGAGGGTCCCGGGCCCCCCGCCCCGGGAGTTCCCCGGGGAGTTTTCCCCCCCGCACACTTGCTCCCTTGTTCTCTTGTCTCCGGGGACTTTCAGAAGCCGGGATGGGCAGCGGGTGGGGAAGGGGCAGGGATAGGGCAGCCCGGGGGCCCTGGCTCTGCCCCAGCTCCCCTGTGCTGACCCACCTCCCCTCCCCCAGGGGCCGTGTGCAAGTTCTGCCAGCCTCGGGAGTCGGAGCTGTATCAGAAGGAGGTGAGGGTTTGTGTGCGGACAGGGGGAAGGGAGGAGGGGTCCGCTGGGCCAGGGCCACCCTGCGGTGCTCTCGTCCCCAGGTGTCGCACCTGAATGCCCTGGAGGAGCGCTTCTCGCGCCTGTGGACACAGTGCCAGCGCTGTCAGGGCAGCCTGCATGAGGACGTCATCTGCACCAGGTACAGAGGCCTGGAGGGCCCGCCACCCCCGCTCTGTCCTGCCTGGGCCCCTCCCAGCTCCCAAGGCCTGTGGACCTGACCCCAGGGTCCCGGGAGGCACCCTTCACCCCCTCTGCCGCCACCACCATGGCTGACCCTCAGTGTCCTGGCCTGCAAAACAGGCCCGTGCTCATCCCAGCCTTAGTTGGGCGGGGGGTTGCTGCTCAGGGGACAGGGCTGGGCACCTGGTATCTGCCCAGGAAACGGCCATAGTTCTCTCTGCTACTCTCGTACACACACGCGCGAGCGCGCGCGCACACACACACACACACACACACACACACACACACACACACACAAAACGGTCCTGGCCCTCTCCCCCAGGGCGGGCCAGGCTTTCCCCAGGGAACAGGTGGGCGGGGCGGGTTCCCACGCCAGGTGACAGGTGATATACGGCTGGTGGCCCAGCGCCCCTGCGGGCTCCCGCTGTTAGGGCTCCCCCCATGCCCGCTGAGCAAACAGCCTGCCCCTGGAAGGAGGGTTGGGTGGGCAGCGGGTGGGGGGGATCAAAGTCCTGGGAACAGCCCCCACCCCATCGCTGGGCCGGGCAGACGCCCTGATCCTGACCCTGACCCTGACCCCGCCCACAGCCGGGACTGCCCCATCTTCTACATGCGCAAGAAGGTGCGCAAGGACCTGGAGGACCAGGAGCAGCTTCTGAGACGCTTTGGCCCTCCTGGCCCTGAGGCTTGGTGACCTCTGACCTCGGCAGGCTTCCCACCAGGGCCTTGGGGGGCCGGATTGGTGGAAAATTAATAAAGTTCAGGCCTCTTGTTTCCTGGTGTTTTGTGGTCTCCAGTGCACAAGGTCCGCTGCCATGAACCCTGGCCCGGGGGGGGTCATTTCCACTCAGCCGGAGCCCCTGACCCCCAGGAGGCCCCCCACTGACTCCTCCCCTTCCCTCCAAGAATCCCTGGGCTCCCGGCACTGCTGCCAGCCCCACAAAGGCAGTCCTGCCTCAGTCTCCCCCTGGGACCCTCCCTCAAGGGCCTGAGTGAACATCTAACCACACATCCTCTGCCTGGACCGCCCCGCCCTCCAGGTGCTGACCTGTTTCCTCCAGGCCTGGGGCAGCCCCTGGAACGGAAGCTCCCACTGCCCGGCATGACCCAGGGGACCCCCCCCACCATGTCACACACCCACGATCTTTCCACCTCAGGGTCCTCGCAGGCTCTGGGCCTGGATTTTCCTCAGAATCCTCTCTCCCCACATTCACATCCACTCCTCAGAGTCCCGGCAACCCCACCTCGCCTTCAGACCCCATCAGTGCCTGAGCCTGTCGCTCAGTGTCATACACCCCCCCCCCCGGGGGGGGGGGGGGGGGGGAGGGGTGCCCCCCGCCCTTTTACTGACCTCAGGAACGCTTGGCTTCTCTACTTTCTTAGGATCCCCCCAAATCAGCTCCTCTCCCATCCACCCTTGGGCTCAGCCCCCCATTCCCACCCCAACTGTGGGGATCCCCAAATCCAGATGGCCCCTGGGCCTGCCCTCTCTACCACGTGACCAAGGGGTTGTGCAATCCAGCCCCCTCCCCTGACCCTCCCCGAGGGGATTTTCGAGGAGGGCTGTGCTCTGTGCAGGCCTGGCCGGCACCCCTACCCCCCCCCCAAGGGGCTGGGCCAAGGTATAAATAGGGGTGGTGGCTGCAGCAGGCAGCAAACCCAGCAGGCTCCACCATGCTCGCCCTGGAGGCTGCACAGTAAGTGTGGGGGCCCCTAAAGGAAGGAGTCCCCTGCACTTGGGACTCTGCCCCAGGGGGCGGGTGGGAGGGAGGGGGTCCACACTGCCTCTTGCCCCTCCTAGATCTCTTGTTCTCTCCTAGCCCCGCTTCCTTCCTCCATCCTATCCCTGTCTCTCTCGGACCTCGGAAATCTTTCCTCGGAATGCTCGCCTGTCTCCCCTCCCACCGACGGCCTCTCCCAGGTGGCTCCCCAGGTCTGTCCGCACCCCCGGCCCCCACCAGGCCTCCCTGTACCCCTGGCTTGTTCACTGTTGCCCGCTCTGCCTCTTGCCGTCTTTTTTTCCCCCTGGGGCTCTATTCTCTGCCTCTCGCTCCCTCTCTGTCTCTGTCTCCGTGTCTTTGTCTCGGTCTCTTTCCAGGTCTTCCTCTGTCTGTCTGTCTGTCTGTCTTCTTTCCTACTGTCTCCCTGTCTGTTCCCCAACCCCATCTGTCTATCCCTGGGGCTCATAACCACTTCCTGCATCCATGAATGTCTCTCTCCACACCTTCCTCCCTTCCCGCCTCTCCCATCTCCTTCCCATCTCTTCCCAGAGGCTCTCCGGCTCTCCTCTGGTCCAAGGTGGACCCATTTCACCGACTCCCTGATGGAGGCCCCCTCCCTGCCCCCACCTGGGCACTGACGCCCACAGCGGCTCTCCAGGGACTTTCTCTCCTTCACTTTCCCTGCCCCCAACCAGCCTCTGTCTATGCAAATCCCAGGGGAGGGGGGACATTTGCCTGCTCCCCCCCACCCCCCACTTCCTGCCCCGCTTGAGTGTGGTGGGGCTGGTCTCACACAAGGACACACAGCAGAAGAGCTGTGGTGGTCACAGCTGCAGCCTCCCCCTCCCCCCGCACGGGCTCCCAACCACTTGGGAGATTCAGGTGGCCGAAGGCACCCCTGACATGCCCCTGTGTGTCTTCCCCTCCAGGCAGGACGGGCCACACTTCAGCTGTCTGGTGAGTTGGGGCCCTGGGGATCAGGGAGGGTGGGGGACCCAGATGGCCCACCTTGACCTCCCTGCCTCAGTTTCCCCTTCCATTCCTTCCTGTCACTCTGTCTTTCTGACTCTCCCTCCATATCTCCATATCTCCACCTCACCTGCCCCCTCCCCGCCCCATATATGTTGCACAGAAGTTTTCCTGGTGTCTCTTTCCAGCTCTCAGGCCCTTGGCATGACAAGGGATGGTGGTGTCTCTGTCCCTGTTATGTATTTATTTTGAGGCGGGGGGGGGGGGGGAGAATCCCAAGCAGACTCACGAACCGTGAGATCAGCACCTGAGCTAAAATCAAGAGTTGGACCCTTAACCAACTGAGCCAGCCAGGCACCCCAGTTTTTGCTTTTTTTTTTTTTTTTTAACAAAAAATCGAGGTATAACACACAAGCTGGTAAAGTGACAAATCTTGGGTACAGCCCAATGAGGTTTTACATCATGCACACACCTGTGTAACAGCTAACCAGAGCAAGATATAGAACATTTCCGTCCTTCTGGAAGATTCCCAACCAACAACCCCCTCCCCTGGATATTTTTCAACACAGATTAGTTGATTAGTTTTGTCTGTTTTCAAGTTGTATATGAAATACATCACGTAGGATGTCCCTTTTGGGGTCTGGCTTCCTTCATCAACATTTCAGTGTGTGTCAGGCATTGTTTTTGTTGTTGTTGTTTTAAGTAAACCCTACCCCCAACGTGGGGCTTGAACTCATGACCCTAGAGCAAGTGTCCCATGCTCTAATGGTCTATTGACCTAGCCAGCCGGGTGCCCCAACGCTGGGTCTTTTTCCTTGCTGTATAGTACTCTGCTGGGGCCCCCCCTCCCCCGCCACACACACACACACACACACACACACACACACACACACAGACCTGTTCATCCATTCTCCTGTCCGTGGCACTTGGGCTGTTTCTCACTGGGAGCTATTTGAAAAGCTGCTCTGATTGTTCTTGAACAAGGCTATTGGGTGGACATACGTTTTCAGTCCCTTGGGGGGAATACCTAGGCGTGAGACTGCTGCTACCTCGGGATGGCGTGTGTCCAGCTTTGGTCTTTACTCTCGTTGCTAAAGCAACACATGATTCTTGGGATGGATCAGAGTGATACGGAGGTGGATAAAAGAAGCGTCAGACTTTCTTTGCCTCTGTAAAAAACACTTCCGGCCCTGGGACAGGCAAGCCTGGGGGAATCCTTCCACACTTGCCCCAGGTGTTGGGGTTCCTGGGAGCCCACAGTCTTTAGAGGGTGCTGACAGTTGTGTGCCTCTCTGAGACCCCACGTCTCTGTGTTTCTGTGGGTCTCTGCCTGTATCTTTCCGTGTGTTGTGTTTGTGTCATTCTGTGTGTTCCTGCTGTGCGCTTCTGTTCCCTCTTCCGGCATCTCTGCATGTCTCTCTCTGCCCCTGTCTCTGGTGCCCGGTCTCTGTGTCTCTTGTGTTCTTCTTTCCGTGTGTCTCTTTGTCTCCTTCTCCCAGCCTCTTCCTTCTTCTCCCCCGTCCCTGTCAGAATCTTCCCGCTGGCCCAGAATGGGGGTTGGGGGCTCCCCGAAGGCTGGGATGACCCCTCTTCTTCCCCCCGACCCCATCAGTACCCAGATGGCGTCTTCTACGACCTGGACAGCTGCAAGCACCCCAGCTACCCTGACTCAGAGGGGGCTTCTGGTGAGTGGCCCTGGCCTAGCCAACCCCCTGACCTGGACCTTGGGCCCATTTCACAGATGGGGGAGCTGAGTCCCAGGGGAGGATGTCACCTAGTTCGGCAGGACAAGGTTAGCCCAGGTCTCCAGGCCTCCTCCCCTTCCTTTTCTCACCCAGTCTCTTGCTCATGCAAATTCTGGGGTCGAGATTTGCATGGCCCACAATGGCCCCTCTGTGTAGGGGGCTTCGAGTGGGAGGGGCTGAGGCCAGACTTGGCTTCTGACTCAGTGCCCTCCCCCAGACTCCCTGTGGGGCTGGGACCTCAGTCCAGCTGTCCCAGCCGCCTCGTATGAAGCCTTCAACCCAGCTGTGGCCAACTTTGGCCACCCCCAGGGAGTCCAGCTCTGTTACGGACCCTCGACCTACAGCCCCATGGGGAGCCTCGACCCGGCCCCCAGCCTAGAGGCCCCAGGGCCCAGCTTCCCAGCGTACCCCACGGAGGAATTCACCAGCCAGGTGAGGGGCAGGGACACAATTAACATCGCCATCATTTGACTGAGGTTTAGCAGGTGCCAAGCAGTATGTGAAGACCTCTAACAAGCCTCTGAGGTTAAGTGCCATTATCACTCCCCTGCACAGACCAGCCAACAGAGGCACGGGCTCTGACCGAGGGGCGGCGTAGAGTGCCATTCTCAGTGTTGGGCACACTTTCGTGGAGGCGGCCCGGGCATCCCTTGGCCATGCCTTGGAGATCTGAACTGAGGCCGGAGTGCAGGCCGTCAAGAGGGTGTGGGGGGAGGGGGGGACACAGTGGGGACCCACGAGGAGGAAGCTGAGGGAAGACAGCAGAGGGAGGGAGGGAAGGGGGTCCCTGGACTGCAGGTGACCCTGACCTTTTGCAGACCGTGGGCCCCCCGGCATATGCCCCCTACCCCAGCCCTGTGCTGTCGGAGGAGGAGGATCTCCTGCTGGACAGTCCCACCCTGGAGGTTTCAGACAGCGAGTCGGACGAGGCCCTCATGGCTGGCCCCGAGGGGAGGGGATCTGAGGCAGGTACGTAGGAGCAAGTGGGGTTGGGGGGGCTCCGGACACAGATGGGGGAGGGAGCTAAAGGAAGCATGGCTTGGCTTCCCAAGCGCTTACTACGTCCCCCAGCGTTGAGGGCCGTTCCCGGGTCCACCCTTGGCTGTCTGTGTGGCCCTGGGCAAATGACTACCTCTCTTTGCCTCGGTTTCCTATCTACAATGGGGATGGCAGGAAGTGTTTCTTCCTGGGGGTCGGGGAGATTAAGTGGGATAACCCAGGTGAGCGAGAGCAGCTCTTGGCACAGAGTGAGCAATCAGTAAGACTTCACCCTTATGATTGACACAATAGCAACAGAAATAATCATATCAACACCCGGCTATTCGGCCCCTGCTTCCGCCCAGGCGCCTGACGTGCATTATGCTCAACTCCTGGGAAATTAGGATCTTAGTTACTTTCCCTATCTGGGTCTCAGTTTCCCTTCTGTAAAATGGGCAGCAGCAGCAGCGGCCCCAACTCCTAGTGTTACAGTGATTAAACGAGCTCACAGCACTAAGTGCTTCACAAAGGTTTGTAAAAGTAAAACACACACACACACACACACACACACACACACACACACACACGAACGGTTCATTTATAGCTGAGGAGGCTCCAGCTCAGAGAGAGGTTAAGTCACCACCTCAAGGTCACTGCTGGGAAATAGCAGACCAGACCTGGGGGTTCTTGTACCCGCTGCCCTGCTATGAACCCCCCCCCCCCGTCTCCAGCTTGTGGAGCCCTTGCTGCTTGTAGGAGCCCCAGAGTCAGACCCCCTGGTCTCTTCCAGGATCCCAGTCCCTCAGGGGCCCAGAAACGGCTAGGTGAATTCAAACCTACTCCGGATCTCTTCGCCACCAGTCAGCTCCCTGTTTATATAACCCTTTGAGGAGCGCTGTCAGCCCATTTCACAGATTCATCTATAGGAGGGACAGAGCAAAGCAACAGCTTCAGGGGTAACAGCTTCAGGGAGGAGAGCAGGTTGCCTGGGGTGGGCGGGGACGCCGCACTGGAGGCAGGCAGACGCCAGCCACCTCCGTCGCCCCAGTTCTCCTGGCCTGGAGACTGAGGCTTGTTGGGGCTCGGGTTGAGGCGGGGGTTTGAACTGGGGTGGGTGTGGGGGCGGGGCCCAAGGGATACCTCTCCTAACGCACCCCCCCCCGACTCCCCGGCTCCCCTCCCCCCCCCCCCCCCCCAACAGGGGCCCGCAAGAAGCTCCGCCTGTACCAGTTCCTGCTGGGGCTCCTGACGCGCGGAGACATGCGCCACTGCGTGTGGTGGGTGGAGCCGGGCGCCGGGGTCTTCCAATTCTCCTCCAAGCACAAGGAGCTCCTGGCGCGTCGCTGGGGCCAGCAGAAGGGCAACCGCAAGCGCATGACCTACCAGAAGCTGGCGCGCGCCCTACGCAACTACGCCAAGACCGGCGAGATCCGCAAGGTCAAGCGCAAGCTCACCTACCAGTTTGACAGTGCGCTGCTGCCGGCCGCCCGCCGGGCCTGAGCCCAGTGGGGGCTGTGAGGGGCTCCACGCCTGTGTCACGTTGGCGTCCCCACACCCTAGGTCACGGCACCTGTGGATTCCCCACACTGGGGGGAGGGGGGCTGCTATAATCCCTAAGCCCTGCCCAGGGCCCCTCTGGGACACCACCCCTCCCCCATCGTGTCTGGGGCCCCTCTGGGATTTCCTTGTCATGTCTAGGATCCCCAGGATCCTCATGTCTGGGTTATGCAACACATAGAGGACCATACGGTGTGTCTGTGTGGAGGGGAGGGGCAGGACAGTGCTTCCAGATTCCCAAGAGCTTCTCTGGGATCCCCTTGTGGTGTCCGAGATCCTCCAACCAAGCCTGGGACCCCTCTGAGCTCCCTTGTGTGTCTGAGATCCCTTAATCTCATCTGGGAAGGGAGAGCCCACGGACGGTCACACAGGGAGGAGGGTGCCTTGTCGAGGGTCTCTCTGGGGTCCCTTTCTCATGCCTGAGTCCCTCTTGTCAGATCTGAGATCTCCTACTTAGGTCTGGGGGCCTTGCGGAAACCCTTCATCAAGTCTCAGATCTCTATGCCCATCTGTGACTCTCTTGTCCTACCAGTCCCCCTAAATGATGACCTTTGTCATCTTGCAATCTCCTAATTCTCTGGAACCGCCGTACTGTCACTTCCTTGTGTCTGGAATTCTCTAATCACATCGAGGGTGCCTCTGGGATCCTTTGGTCATGTCTAAAAACATCCTCGTCAGGCTTAGAGGGGACCTCAGTGGACCTTGTCTTGTTCGGGCCGCCTCTGGGATACCCTTATCTATCTGGGATCCTGCAATCACATCTGGGGGCCTCCCTGGGATTCTCCATCTGCTATGCCCCTTTGGGGACCCCACCAGCAGACCTGAGTTCTCACAGGGACCCTTCCCTTCCTGGGATGCCCTCTGGAGGACCAGGCTAGGGAGCATTCTGGCCACTCAACTGATTTCTGGGTGATCTTGGCAGCCCTCCCCACGTCATCTCTAACCAGAGGTCACAAGTTGGTACCCCACCCCCACCCTTCCGGCTCCCTTTGGGGCAGATCAGATCTCTGGTGGTGGTTTCTGTAGTTCACTGTGAGGGAGATTTTGCCTGATCCTTCACTAAAACTTTGCACAACGCGGCAACAGGCAACAGCGGGCTGCTTTGCGGTGCAGAGAGGCTGGAGGAGGGTGGCAGCCACTCCTAATGGGGCTTCTGTTCCCCAGTTGGCCCCAGTCCCTGCAGCCCCCGGCTGTCATACCCCAGTGGCTTTTCTCAGTCACCTGTTGGCCCCCAACCATTTACATTTTGACCCCTGGTGTGAACCCAAGGAGGTGTGAAGCTTGGGTGCACTGTGGGAGCTCTGATTGGAACCCTCCGGGGGTGCCACAGACTGTGGTGGGCTAGGACGTCAGAGTCCCAGGTCCTGGAGGCTTCGCGGCTGGGGGAAATCTAGGGTGAAAGACTTGCTGCTTCTGGGCCTCAGTTTGTCCCTTGTGTGAAAGGGGAGAGAAGGAGGAAGATAGAAAAAGTCCCTTGCAGTCATGCTGAGCCTTTGATACATCTTCTGGAAATCCACCCCACCACCCATTCATTCACTGACATCCAGGAGGAGGAGGACAAAGGAGCTTCAAGGACCCAGAGAGGGAAGAGGTCCCTATGGGGCACACAGCTGCTGGTAGCAGGGCCCAGGCTGGGACCTGCCCTCAAAAGGACAGCACCCCCCCACTCCTGGAACGGGGGCAGGGTGGGAGGGGAGTGCTAGGGACAGAATGTCCCCAGGGCCTCCTCCTGCAAATGAGGTACCTTTTGCAAAGACTATTATCTACCACCCCCAAAATGTGGAATAAAATAAAATAAAAAAAAAAA